CTTAACAGCTGTCCAAAAGACAATCATTGACACCTTGCACAAGGAGGGCAAGACACAAAAGGTGATTGCTAAAGAAGCTGGCTGTTCGCAGAGCTCTGTGTCCAAGCACATTAACAGACAGGCGAAGGGACGGAAACAATGTGGTAGAAAAAAGTGTACAAGCTCTAGGGATAACCGCACCCTGCAGAGAATTGTGACGACAAACCCATTCAAAAATGTGGGGGAGATCCACAAAGAGTGGACTGCAGCTGGAGTCAGCGCTTCAAGAACCACCACGAGGAGACTCATGAAAGACATGGGATTCAGGTGTCGCATTCCGTGTGTCAAGCCACTCTTGAACAAGAAACAGCGCAAGAAGCGTCTCGCCTGGGCCAAGGACAAAAAGGACTGGACTGATGCTGAGTGGTCCAAAGTTATGTTTTCTGATGAAAGCAAGTTCTGCATTTCCTTTGGAAATCAAGGACCCAGAGTCTGGAGGAAGAGCGGAGAAGCACAGAATCCACGTTGCATGAGGTCCAGTGTAAAGTTTCCACCGTCAGTGATGGTGTGGGGTGCCATGTCATCTGCCGGTGTTGGCCCACTCTGTTTCCTGAGGTCCAGGGTCAATGCAGCCGTCTACCAGGAAGTTTTAGAGCACTTCATGCTTCCTGCTGCTGACCAACTTTATGGGGATGCAGACTTCACCTTTCAACAGGACTTGGCACCTGCACACAGTGCCAAAACCACCAGCACCTGGTTCAAGGACCATGGTATCCCTGTCCTTGATTGGCCAGCAAACTCGCCTGACCTTAACCCCATAGAAAATCTATGGGGTATTGTGAAGCGGAGGATGCAATACGCTAGACCCAACAATGCAGAGGAGCTGAAGACGACTATCAGAGCAACCTGGGCTCTCATAACACCTGAGCAGTGCCACAGACTGATCGAGTCCATGCCACGCCGCATTACTGCAGTTATTGAGGCAAAAGGAGCCCCGACTAAGTATTGAGTGCTATACATGCACATTCTTTTCATGTTCATTCTTTTCAGTTGGCCAACATTAGAGAAACAAACATTTTTTCATTGGCCTTTAGAATATTCTAATTTTCTGAGATACCAGATTTGATGTTTTCATTGGTTGTCACCTATAAATATCAAAATTAAACGTAATAAACATCGGAAATACATTGGTCTGTGTGCATTGCATGACTATAATGTACAAGTTTCACGTTTTGAATGGAATTACTGAAATATTTTCAACCTTTTGATGATATTCTAATTTACTGGCCAGCACCTGTATAAACAAGCAAGAACATGTTTGGTGTTGTGTAACAACCAAAGGAAGCATCTTAGAATCGTGTCAAATACTTCCTCGTGCTTTAGGGCAAGATGCACAGAAAACAGCCAAAGGTTTTTTTTTTTTTTTTTGTAAATTGGTGTGGAGCGCCAACATGGTCCAAACCTTCCATGAGAATACCAAAATGTACACAGCTCTAATCTGTCCGACTGAATGCCTAGCAGGTTTATTTGAGTGTGAACAGACAACGATAAGGGCTCTCGATAAGATGTGATACAATAGCTCCAGTGTCTAGGCTTAACAGATACAAAATCCCATCTGTTATCACTCACTTGTTCTTCCTCCAGCATGAATCTGATAGAATTAATGTCATCTCCTAAATGATAAAACAAATCCATTGTGGTTCATTCAAATCAAAAAAACAATTTTCTGACACTAACACATGAAGCCACTCATGAAAAGCTTTTGTTAAAAACCAGACAGCAGCAACTGTTGTTTGTTTATACCAATGGATTATAATCCATGTTGTTTTGTTTTTTCCTAAAATGAGACACGTGGAGTAATTATTTCCACTCAAGCACACGGAGGCTTTTGTCCCCAGATTTATTCCAACCGGTTTGGGTGCATAACCTCCATGCCTGCTGCAGATGCCCACAGACCAAGCCTTGTTACTCTACAGACATGTAGTGCAGGTTCAACGGTGCAATCTCTTACTCATAGGCAGTTCTTAAGAGCCATAAAAGGATTGCAGACCTGTGTGAATCCCACATTTACAGCTCAGTGCATGAAAGAGACTGATTTGAATGGGATCTTATCAGGCTTTAAACATTCTCACACATTAGGAGTATGTAAAGCAAGGGTTCGTGTTTGCAAGGGCAGTGGTCTGTTAGGAAAATGAAGCTAGATCAGTTTGTCCATTTCTGTTTTATTTAGTCATCCATGTAACAGGCTCCTCTATAAAACAGTGGATATCTCTGTGCCTTTGATAATTATTTTATCTGGCAATAAATTGGTTTTAATTTGGTTTATATCTCAATCAGAAATTTGATTCGGATAATTTGAAATGAAATGATTAACCTATATAGATCCGTTACATAAATGTGTGAGGGAAGGGTGGTTGGGGGGATGAAAAAGAAAAGAAAAGGAAACAAGTCTATGTATTCATTTGTGTATATATGTATATATAGAGGTCTATAACTTTATGCTTCTCTCTGTGTAACTCGTTTTCTCTTTTTTTTCGATTCATGTGTTGAGATTGTGTGGGCCAACCAGTCCAGGAACTATATTGTTCAATTTCTTTTTTTTTTCTCTCTCTTTTAAGAATCATGATTGTTTCATTTGTATTAATGTTATTTTAGTTAAAAGGGGCAGATAACATAAGTTTTTCTTCCTTCTGTCCCCTTTTTCATTTTGGCTTGTAGCAATTTTTTTCAGTATTTTTATTTTAATGTCAATAAATGAAAAATGAAATATAAAAAAAAAAACATCATCTCACAATAGTCACAGTCTTGAGTACGTTTTTTATTTTCTTGTGTTCTTTTATTTTTTTGGAAACACTGGTCAAGTGACCCATTGGGCGCTGGGGATTGTAACAGCCTCGTCACCATGTTGAGTGGGTTTCTCACTCTCTAAACCCAACTGGAGTCAAAGCAGGGTGGGCAACTATGTCCGTTATTTGCCCAGTCTACGGTCGCAACCTGTGCACTCTTGAGAACAGATCACGTGGCATTACGGTTGACGTTTCTAGTCCATCTGTTGGGATTTGATATTTAAATATATATTTTATTATATTTATATTTTAACTATCATGTCACACCACATGTCTGATTTTGTGAAGAAAAAGTTATGAAAAACCTTCCTCAGTAAAATAAATGCACTGAGGCCAAATGAGAACCCATCCAAGATGGCAGCCCGCTGCTACGCCTGTTCCAATAGGCAGTGCCAGTCCATGGGGTGTTTACTGATATATCTGTGTCCTAAACAACAAGTACATTGAAGAAGTGTTGAGGTTTCTTGGGCCCAAAACCATACTTGAACTTCCACCGTTGCACACTTCAATTGCCCGTTCCCGGGGTGCGGGTGCGTAGGGTGTCCCTATTCTCAAATACGGAAGTTGACCGTGCCCCTTTTGCACCCTTGATCCGCACTTCGCCAAAGTCAGCATTAATATGGACTTCAGCAAAGGGTATTACCCATAATCCATTGTTGCATTGGGTTTTTTAGAAGAAGATGGAGCAATAACTCATGTACCTTTTCTGAAAATATGTATTTTTAAATAAAATAATAAAAATTGAAGATCAAATCAAATCAAATCAAATCAACTTTATTTATAAAGCGCTTTCACATGCCCAAAACGGGCAAACAAAGCGCTGATGTTAAAGATGTTTAATGATATTTTTTCATGCTCTGAATGTTTTAGATTATGATTTAATTCGGACAGAAATTGATGTAAATTTTGTTAAATTATTGGTTGTTTGAAAGTTGTTAATGAAGAATTTTAAGAAAGCACACACAGTAACCGACATGCTTTGTGGTCGAAAATGCAATACTGCCTTTCCCAATTTGGCAGTTATTTGCATACTTGTGTACTAAGCCTTACAGCGCATGTCCTTTAAGTGCATTTAATGGAAGTGTGGAGGGTGCAGTGCAAATACAGGGATTGGGCGTGGGTGGCACAGGGGTGGGGAGAAGGATTCAGGGGAAGAAGTGCTGGTCCAGATGGTGGTAATGCACCTTACGTTGCTTGCAGACCATCATAAAACTCTACAAAGAAGAAGAAGAAGTCCCAAACATTTGACGTGACAAAGGACAGTATGGCTGAAGTTAGTCAATGTGTTTTTTATTCAAAAGGCTTTTGAACCATTTTGCTCCTCCTGAGTGCCTCATAACCCTTTGGTCTAAAGCTACACCTGTATCCCTCAACCGAAGACCACTGAGGTGTTTACAATCTTTTCACACCCTATAAGCTCTCCATGTATGTTTGCTGTTTTTGACATACAAGCCATTGTGGTTCAGTCCAGTCACGAGCACAAACTGGCTCTAATTACCTTCACTGAGTCATCAGTAGGAAAAAAAAGAAAACTATATAAAGCTTTCCTTAAAGGAAGTTTCGTGTTTTTTTTTATTTTTATTTTTTTGTCTTTCGAAAATCCCATCAGCTCTATTTATAGGTGACTCGTGTTTAAGTCTGACTGTAAGGATTTGTGTGAAACTTCCTCTTATCCACATCATTATCATTAGATTGGTGAATGACTAATGACGGCATGGCAACAATAGATCTGACGCACTGGGTGAATTTTAAAACCAGCAGCAAAGATAACGACACAGTGTGGAGTCAATGAATGCCACTCTGTGTAAAAAAGGGTCGCACAAGCCGGATAAGTTGGAGTGAAGATTGTGCATAAATTTGCTTGCGATCATGGGGGGGTTACTGACACCGCCTTTATCTTTGTGGCCAATCAAGGCACAGTCATTTGTCAGCTGTCTGCTGGAACCTGCTTGGGCACGCCGTGGCAAACAATTAACTGTGTGGCATTTCCCAGAGTCGGATCTATAAGTACAGGCTTGTAACGGATCCAGTAGGAACAGGAGATCCTGTATCAGTGGAAAAATCTGAAGGATGACTTGAGGCCTTTTGGTTTGAATAATCAGCTGATCTGAAGTCACATTTCTAATCTAAGATGTCTAATCACCCAATAATTTCTTAAGAATGACCTTCATGAAATTAAAAACAAGTACAAGCTTTTATTTATACCAAAGTTTGACAGACATTTGCACACTTTCTTTACAGTTCATTTAACGCAAAGCATAAAATAAGACAAAACAAACTTTTGGTTGCCGGCGAATGTCAATATTTTAATATGCTGCGCTGTGCTTATGGGGTGTTTTATGACTTTTTTGCATTTTTATCTTTCAGGGATCAAACATTCTTCCCGGAGGACACTTCACAGTATCAGAATCAAAACACTTAACTATGTTTGTCGTATGTGCTTTGACTGCTAAATCAACTTCATTGGAACATGGGAGAAACAACTGGGCTTAATAAGTACTTTTATACATAAACAGATGTTACCAGCATGTCTGTTTTATTGAGCTCTTCAAAATGTTTGACAAGGCACAGCTAGTAAAAAGATTGCAGTGCAGTCTTACAACAAAGACGGATGTAAAAGCAAAAGTACACAGAAAAGCAAAACACTTTTAAACAGTTCAAACACTTCTAAATGGTTACAGAAAAGATAAATGAAATCCAACAATAAATTAATGAAATTTTCACTTCTCTGTCTCCCTCCATCCTCTTGCATTCCTCCCAAACTTGTAAACCAGTCTGCGTCCGTCTACTCGTTCTAGGATTTCTCTTTTGTAATAATATCTGTAACAGAAACAGACAGAAATATTTTATTTGGAAAAACAGGTTTAAGAACTGTGTCTCTTTATTGACTCAGTTTCACAATAATTTCTTTTTTTGTTTTACCAACCTGCTCTTTTAGCAGCTTTTGAGACACCTCTCATGAATAAAATACTGTATTTTACCTCAGAGTCTGCCGACACTTTAGCTTCACAAATGCTAATGCACTCATCATGTAATTACATGCAGTGATGTAAACAGTGGCCTGGAGGCAGCGCTAATACTGTATTGTGTTTACATGAAGTGCATTGTTTTCAGGAAACTACTTTGATTAAGAAAAACTCATAATTAGGGGTAAATTGTGTAGTAGCCATTTTCATATTTTACACAGAGTTTCTCTCATTACCACCATAGTTTATGAAATAAGACTGCCTGGTAAAAGGATCACCAATGACCAGACTGCACACCAGCACTGGTCTGTGGATGATTTGGTGTTAGAGCTCACAGACATTCTTAAAACGTCATTTTAAAAAAGACAAAACAAACAAAACCTCATCTCTATGCATCTTTATAAAACTTGATGTGCAAAGTGTGGTGTTTTTAAAAATGAGTAAAATATCTGACACACAATACGACAATAAGAGCACACCATTTACATTTGTGCATCTGGTAATGTGAGCATTCAACCCTAGCCTGGCCTGCCAGACTCCTCTGTTTAATTCTGCACAGACAAAGGGTCTGGGACCTCTCCTATTCAAATAACCCCACCCCCTGAGAAATCTAACCGAGCCGATCAGCGCTGAATAGCGTACGTCACACACCATAAAACCGAGTTTGTCGAACATGGCGACTGAAGTTGAGTTCGCTGCAGCTCTTTCCTCTGTTCTAAATAACTCGGCCACGTCTAACAACAAGTAGAAGCGCTAAAAGCCTTTCTTCTCGGAGCGAACCAGCCGGTAGGTATTTTATATTAACCCAGTAACTGGGAAATGGCTTGAATTCATATAGCACCTCCTAGGGTTCTACACCCCCACAAGACGCTTTACAGGTGAAGTGTCTTACCCAGTGACACAACGACTGCGACTGGTGAATCTGCAACCCTCTGGTTATGGGATGGAAACTTTACTCATCTGTCACCATTGCTCCATAAAAAGCCCCATGGTTTTCCCACACAAAGAACCAAAAGATTTATTTCTTTTGTATACGGAAGTATAAAGTTAGTAGGCGATGGAAAATTACCAATACGTGCTTTGGGGTCACATTCTTTAAGCGCTTTTTGACTTTTACTTTGAAAGGCACCCTATATAAAAATAGCTTATTCTTTTTCTTCTTCTTTGGACTTTATGTTGACATATGAGGAGGAATCTCAGCAAAATTTCCTGTGTCATTCGTTTTCTTTATAAATGTAACTTCAGTAAAAAAATGGACGGAGAATGTTTTGTTTTAGGGGTTAAGGTGAAGTTGTAGCCAAAGTAAAGAACAATGGTAAATGGCCTGTATTTGATATAGCGCCTTCTAGAGTCATGGGACCCCCCAAGGCGCTTTACAACACAATCAGTCATTCATCCATTCACACACACATTCACACACTGGTGGGGATGAGCTACGATGTAGCCACAGCTGCCCTGGGGCGCACTGACAGAGGCGAGGCTGCCGAGCACTGGCGCCACTGGTCCCTCCGACCACCACCAGCAGGCAACGTGGGTTAAGTGTCTTGCCCAAGGACACAACGACAGCGACAGACTGAGCGGGGCTCGAACCTGCAACCTTCCGATTACGGGGCGAGCACTTAACTCCTGTGCCACCGTCTCCCCGGTGAATAACAATTGTGAATAATGCGATGTTCAAAGGGATGAAAAATGAAAAAAATGAAGAAAGCACAAATTTACAGAGTTGAAAGTTTGACAAATTATATGAAAATCAGTGAAAGCCGTCTAAAAACATTGATTAAATAATAAAAATTGGTTTGCCTGAAGCATAAAGTGTTTATCTGGATTCCTGAGAATCTACACCAACATATTATTATTATTATTAATGTTGTACCTCATTGCACGACTTAGTTTCTCATATGTCATGCTGCTGTTATTCTTCTTCTTTCCCCATAGCTGTGCCACTGCTTCTGACTTCAGGAATCGAAACACCCCCTCCGTCCGATCCTCCCACTTGATCAGCCCCGGGTTTCGATCTGGGTTTAGCAGAATATCTCTGATGAACTCCCACAGGTGGGTTCCTCTCGGGTCTTTGGGTGCAAAAGGTTACAGCAAAGCAATAATTACAGAGACAGTTAGGAATGCTTAAACACTAACATATTTTTCTCATACTTACTGTGTTTCTTGACCGGATGATTTCGGCTGAAAGAGCGTTTGATGTCTTAGGGGAAAAAAGACAAGAGGGTGTTTTATTTCTAACTCCTGGTTGTTCTTATTATTTTAAATCTGAACATATTTTGTTGAGAAAGAGAAAATCCTAACCAGGACTCAAAGGAGTGGGTGAGGCATCGGGAGCAAGTGAACAAAGTGAAGGATCATAGATCTCTAAAAGGAAATATATTGAAATTAATTTAAGAAGCTAAAAATTTTACGGCAGTAGTTATGCTGCAGATAAATATAGCTTAATCACCTCCAGGTGGATAGCCGACATCTGGATATGGACATGAGTCTGCTGTAGTGAGAAGAAGCAAAATTGAAATGATGAGGTTGATTTAAAGATGTTGTCGTTTAAAGATGTGAGAGCATGGACATATTTTATTTTTTTTGTGGGGGGGTGCCCCCATACTCTTTCTAAAGTCAATTTTTGACCCCTGCACTTTTTACCGTCTCAAAACAATATCACGCTATGTTAAATAGGCACTGGTTGAGCGCTAGGACCAAGCAGAAAGCAACCACTTGTGTTGGAGCCTGTTTCCCGTTAGAACCATCCATGAGCACATCTACTCACTGACTTGCTAACGTGTGATTGGCCGTTCCTGCCACTCGTGTACTAGACAGTTCTTCATTCCTGACATAGCGTAAAACAGCCTCTAGGCTGTAGCTTCGCACATATTTTTTGTATGCTTACTGTAACCAACCCCCCCCCCCCCCCCCCCAACTCTCATGCTGGTTTTGTCCCCCCCACTTCTAACATCCAAACTATGTCCATGGATGTGAATGTTAAAACTCTTACGTTCAGGTTTGAGTTCCAGTTGCCCAATATCCACATGATATTGTCCTGCAGGGAAAAGAGGCAAAGTGAGGCCCACATTGATGCATTACATGTCATTTGTGATGCAACAGTTAAAGATTGCCCATTAAAATTCACTTCATTAGACAGTTACATTTAAATAGTTCAATTACTGCTTAATGTTATTGAAAGTCTGAGAGTTTTTAACAGTAAACAATCAGACAGTGTTAACAGACATAGGATTGTCAGAGTGTATGTATGGGTAATGCATACATATCAGCCTTTTCCCCTTAAACAGTCTGTTGGAAAAATGTAAAAAACAAAAAAAAAAAAACCAGAGCTTCAAGGAACAAAAACAACTCTGCTCTTGGTTTGAATGTTTGACTTTCTTTGTTTACTGGAAGTTAAACCTGTTCAGCCAGCTGTTACGGTAATGTCTGTGTTGTAAATGCCTTAAGGCATTAATGCATTTAAGAATTCTTAAAAACCCCACCAAAAACCCCCAGAGTCATTAATCCGCTTACCAGATTGATGTCATCTTTTTTTTTGTTTAAATTCACTCTTGCAAAAAGAAAAGTAAAATCTCTCAACTACCATACATAGGTACTCATTTGCTCTGCTGTGTTCCACCGTGCGAGGTGACCTCTGACCCACTGTGATCCCCACTCAACACACACACACACAGCTTCACATTTTTTAAGAGACGTCGTCTTCATGTTTACCCCCCCCCACCCCACCTTTCATTCTGATGCTCACCGCTCGATTTGAGCTCCATGATGCTGTTGAAAAGAATTTGTCCCACGCTGCCTGCAGCACGGATGAAGTCATGGTAGCCCAGGCTGCAAAGCTGATGGCCGTCAATGTCAAAGTTTTGGAAGGGAATGCTGGCGGCATCAATTTGGTGTATGTCCATGATCTGCTGCAGCCACTCCCACACCTGGAACTTACTCCAGAACTGAGGCTGGGACTCATGAGACCACAGGCGGCTCGCGTAACCAGACATCATCAGCGGACCTGAGCACAGGCATCAACAGTTAAGAAAACACGTCAAAAAAGGGTGAAGAAAACATTCACAGACATGCTGTCAAATAATGAGCCTCATTGAGAGTTTAGTGAAAGAGCTGTTGACGTATTTCTCAGTCGGGAATCTTTGATTCATGTTTCAGAGCTCTGGGCGCACCAGGTGAGAGATCCATCACCGTTAAGTGATTTTCACTAAGTGTTTTCAGCTTCATCACAATAGATTGTTTATGGGAGAGCAATGGAAATCCTCAAGCAGAACATTTTACCGTTTTCTTTAAGCGGTTTTAGAAGTAATTCTAATGATGATGAATATCTGTTTCATTAATTTGGGTCAAAATACTCACTATCAGAATAGAGGCCAGGAGGTCCCCAGGTGGAGGTCAGCTGGTTGTCCAAGGCTGAGGATGAAGTTATACTCATATTGTAGCTTTTCCACTGGGATGTACCATGGCCCAAGAGCTAGGGAGGAGGGAGAGATTTGTTTCACAGAAATATCACATCCATTCTGGTACGCCAGATTGCCCCAAAACCCCATTTTTATTATAAAAATATCACATAGTTTTACCATAAATGTGTTTATCAAACGCACAATTCATGGTCAAAATGTATGATGTCAACCTGAGTGAGCATTTAAAATCCTTTTTTATTTACTTTTTATTTTATTGAACTTTAAATTAAAATTTTGCTTGAGGATTAAGGAAAAGCACACACACACACACACACACACACACACACACACACACACACACACACACACACACACACACACACACACAAAAAAAAGAAAAATCAAACACCTGACTCATGTTGTCATAATTCATGCATGCAGTGCTTCTTTTTGGAGAGTCCCATGCTTGATTTAAACTTCCTTGTTGCTTCCTTGCACAGGATATTTAGAGAAATGCACAAAAATCAGGAGATATTTTGGGAGAAGACATTGGACCCCGCCCCCATAAACAAGCAAACAAACAAATACAATATAACACAACAATAAATTGGCTTAAGCAAAACATACTGCTGCCACAGGATGCAATGGAATGCCAATATAGAATATTTGAGCATTAAAGCATTTGAAACTATGAGATAAAACAAGATAAAAGCCTGCTTGTGAGCCTGATAGAGGGTTCCCTAAATGCTTTGTGCCATTACCCTGGTTATAAAAGGCTTTGCTAAATGTACCATGCATAAAGTCCCACATAAAAATGCATTATTAATTGATACATAACATGCACATTTATACTGTTGCAGATATATAGGCTTTACGAGGCACTAAAACATAACAACACAAAGAGGTTCTGTTCCTGTACAGGTAATGAGTTCTGTAAGCAAATGTTTTACTTTTTAACCAAAGCTCTTTTCTTTGCACACGCCGTTTAATTTATAAACCAGCATTACAATTACTTTTGGAAAACTGACTTTGAGTAAGTGTTCAAAATGAATTAAGTAAGATTATTTCCATATTGACCACTTTGTTTCCATGCAAGCTGGTTTTAACTAACTGTCATCCCTAACAGCTACCGACCTTTCAAGGTTCTTTTGCCTTCAATTGTGTGTTGTGAATGTAAAATGTTAACAAAGACATGTTTCAGACTTAACTCCAAGTATATTTGCATGAGATGCAAATGCAGCAGTGTCAAAATTTCACCCGCTTCACTGTTTTGGTGGCCGAAGTGTTGCACGGGCACAATAGTTGTGTTGTATTTTCTGGGTTCACAGCTGGTGTAACTGTATATTACAGTCACACAGAGTTGGCCAAACTGGCGCGTGTTAATAAGGTACAAATGTTGGCTCTAAATTCCAGTCTACATGTTATTTGACATGATTTTAAAGCATTTTTTAAAATTATTTTAACCCTAAAAGCATTCAAATAAATGCATAGTGTTTAAAGTGTTTTGTGTGTTTAAATTAATGTAATCACAAATTGTCAAAGGTCAGAATGATAGCTGACCTATTTTTAGTGGCTAGACCGTAAAACAGATGCCTTCACACGGCTACCTGTTAGGCTTTTATGATGGGTTGTAAACAACCTTCCAGAAAGCCTCGTCAGACGAGTTTATCTCAACAGTAAATGTGGTACAATCAAATTAAACCTCTACGGGAAACATTTAGCAAAGGATTTTCCCACACCTTCGTTTTAAAATCAACTTGGAACTAAGGCTTCTAATTGTGCTCGTAAAATCTGTGCTACACACCAAACAGGATTAACTCCTAACCCGACAAGTCAGTTAAAATGACCTGCTAGCTGTGTTAACCCTTCTTATTTACCTCTGCCAAGAACGTATCTTATCAAGAAGGTGCAGCGTGCTCTACGTCAATACAATAATCACGCAGGTCCGCTGAGAAGGTTTATAGATCAATTTCCCTTCAGCTGAGTCACAGTAAAAGATCACTTATTTGCCTTGATATGAGAAGATAAGGTGCATAGTTGAGTCTCCTGGCGTTTGAATGAACAGTGTTTGCTTTCATTTTCATCTTAGGTATATTCTCAAGCTTGCAACGTTTTCTGTTTCAACTCTTCTCGTGTTTTCTCTGAACTACGATTAATTTTGGAATAAAAATGCTCCCTTCTTCCCAGAGATCTCATCAAATATGAATGTGATGGCATTAAACAATCCTAAACATGTTTCTTGGGATTTGAAGTTCCCTATTTGGATTTGAGTGACTTCACTCGGGTATGAGGACGCAATCCTTAACATTTCTGGTGTCTGTGGGTTTTACTAAAAGCTGTAACATGGCATTTTTCAAAAGATAAATAAAAGCATCCTGGTTGAAGTAAACTGCATCACCTACCAGAGCAGAAGAATTGGGTCCTACCAGACCGGACAGATGCCTCACGTAGATCCTTCACTGATCCAAGAGGACAGATCAGCCCAATTTCCAGACGAACAAGTTTTCCACACTGCCCGTGTTAACAACCTGATGAAGAGCGTGCTCCGGCTTCCCAGGCTTTCAAAGTTTTTAATCAACAAATATGTGCACACACCACAGGTGCTATCCCTCCACAATGGGATTTTTATCCTGCTAACTTCCTCGTCCCATTTCAATTGGCTCTACAGGTTCTTAATTTGCATAATACACCCCCCCAAACACACACACACACACACACACACACACACGCACACACACACACACGCATGCACACACTAGTCATAACTTTCACATTCCTTGTTGGCACGGTTGCTGCTCATGCGCCTAAACACACAAATAAAACTCACTTGACAACAAATGTCACACTTGTGAGAAAAGATATAAAGTCACAAATCCGATCATACACAGGAAGAGAGAATTAAATGGTGGCTTTAAATGGAATTAAACACTAGAAAAATATTCTCCTGTATTAAAGGTATGGAACCCTGAAAAAAACATGCTATGATTATTCTTGACTCTAATCAGACTGAGTTTTTCTTGCAGGCTGAATATGAAAATAGTCTCCTACACCTAATTCCTGCATTTTTCTTGACTATTGGAAGCTAACCGTTAGCATTAGCAACTCCACCACACAGCAGAACTCCTTCATTTGTGGCGATAAAACATCAATGTTGCAGAGCAAACAGTCAGTGGTAGAGTCACGTTGTTTTTATCCAGTTAGAGGAGAGATGTCCAAATATCCAACACGTTCTCACGTCTGTGACCAAGCAGTTGTTTCCGATGCACTGGGAGTCCCAACGCGCGGGAGGAGATGCGTCGCTCTCCTACTGCCGCGGTAAAATGGTGATTTCACCAAATGCTGACCTTTACCCTCTTGCTGTTTAACCATCCCTTCACCCCATTCTAACTTTAACCCCCTTATGCTTTCAAAACTTTGTTTCTAGTTGTAACGTCCCTCTTCAACACAGTCAACGGGAACTTTAGAATGAGCAAAAGAGGTAAAGGTTAGGATGGCGGTAAGGGGAAGGCAAAATAGCAAGAGGTTAAATGTCGGTGAAATGTGCGTTTTACCGCGGGTGTCGGAAACTGGCGCTCTGGCACAGTGCGTCGCCTCCCAACGCGTCGGAAACAAACGCTTGGTCACCCAGCGTCATTTTTTGACACTTTGGGTGTGAGAATGTGTAGAAATATCCTGTCCTCTGTCGTTACTTTCTTCTCCTGCTTATTTGGAAGTTCTAAAGCAGGTGGTTCAGGTGCACCTGTGGTAGCAAAGATAGACTTTTTATTTATAACGGCTGTTCAAGTCAGCCAGTCAGGTTAATCAAGGTGACTCCTGAGCCTATTTTTTTTCACTCAGCATGAACTAATGTCACACTAAACCCTTGACAGTCAAATCAAAAGGTGAGCAACAAACATCCTATCTAACCAGTCGGTTAGTCATTCTGCCCACACAAGTTTTGTTTCAAGGTTGTCTAAGTTTATGTTTGAAGAAAAAAACATAAGTGTCTCATTTCAATCGCCGACAGCTGCCTCAGCAGGCAGGCGAATGCCACCTCCTTTGGGGGGATCCCAGAGCATGACGGCAGCCTTGAAATGTAATTCCTGCAGCACATCCTAGATCAATTTAGAGTCTCCTCCAGAAAGGAAACTCCTGAAACAACTTCTCTAGGATGGGGTCCGAGAGGCATTTTAACCACATCCCTTAACCACCTGAGTGACGGTTCCGCTCAGCATAAACAATTCCTTCTTGGATGGCTGAGCTGCTCTTGGCCATAAAACTGATCCCGCACACCCAGCAAAGGGAAATCATTTTGGTAATTTGTTTTGACAATCTAATTTTTTTCTGGGCAAGACATTTCAACCTCATTTCACCCACCATCTTACCCTCTTTACCACAAGAGACTTTTGCATCATTACCTCGATCAGCTTGTGAATCTGCCGCTCCATCCTGTCCTCGTTGGTGAACAACCCTAGAACAAACCTTCCACTTGAGGTAAGTCCTCTCCTCTAAACCCTCATAGGCATCAAACTCCTCCATGACATGGTTGTGGTCCAAAAACTATTAAAATATAGATTGATCACTTTGGGCAACGGTGGCAGTGGAGTTGTGTGCCTGCCCGGTAACCAGAAGGATGCAGGTTTGCACTCCGCTCAGTCTGACACTGGCGGTGTGGCCTTGGGCAAATCACTTCACCCCCCTTGCCCACTGGTGATGGTCAGAGGGACCAGTGGTATCAGCGATCGGCAGCCTCGCTCCAGTCAGTGCACATCACAGCAGCTGGGCTACATTGTAGCTCATCGCCACCAGTGAGTGAAAGGGTGAATGGCTGTGTTGTAAAGCACCTTGGAGGTGAGTGGGGGTTGAACTGCAGAAGGTGCTATATCAAATATAGACCATTTACCGAGAGATTGGTGTATTTTTCAGGGCCACAAAATATTTAACAATTCAAATTGCACTCTGGGGAGCAACAATGTACTTTTTAATCTATCCTTGATTTGTACAGATAGGGCAGGAATATACTTGCTTTTCATCTACATATGCATATTTAAAATGTTTGCCTTGCGTAACTTGCATTGATTGGAAGCTTTGTGCATGTCACCCGAAGTTACTGCAACTCATTCGAATACTGCAATACACGAATAACCAGTAGGCAGTGGTGAGACACACTCACCATGGTCACTCCGTCTCTGGTCTTTCATACTATCTACGATATCGCTGCTGTCTTTTCTCCTGCCATGTTCTCAAATTTAACCAGTTACTGATCTCTTCTAGTGATGCCATGTTTAATTTGGTTGTCCTCTACAAACCCGAGACTTTATCCGGTCTACGTTCTCTACTGTTCCCCCTAGTGGACTCCTCTGGTACTACATGCAGTTCACTGCCATGCAGCAGTATGTGAACAAAGATACAGCCTGCTGCCTCACCAAAGCAAGGTTAAAAAGCAAGTATAATCCAGGCCTAAGGCTTTGAAAAAAATGCACATACTACAAATATTTCACCATGTCCATTACAAATCTATTTTTTACATTATTTAATGTATCAGATGAAATCCATCATTATAATGGATTTTAGATAAAAATAATATTTTCAAATGGCAACAACATTCTCAGTTCAATAATAGAAAACAAAATACTGTACTTTATATAATATCTTGCTAAAAAGTGCTAAGCGCTTGCCTTCAAATAAAAACTCACATAAGACATCGCCTTTGCAGGAGCGAAATGTGTGGAGGAATGGTTTCACTAAACTTCTCTGCTCTTTACATGTGCTGTTGCCACCGACAATGATCAGAGGGAGTTCAAGCATTCTATTTTTTGCTTGTCGCCAATTACTGTTTGGACAAATTGTGACACCCCTGATCAGAGATCCAAATATGATCTGTAGCATTGTACCAGTACAGTGCCTCTTGGGGACTAGAGGCACTAACAGCATCGCACCGATAATTGAGGCAACGTTGCACAGGGCTGAACTGGATATGAAGGAAAACTCTAAGGAAAGTATGTCAGGTTATTCTTGGAGTCTCTATGGCAGAGATGGGAGATGAGATCGGATGATGAACACATTCATTTCCCTTTTAAATGAATTATTAATGTGGATTTGTTGAGTTACATAATCATATAACATCAATCAAGAGGATTTTGAGGAAAAGTAGAATAAAACATGACACTGGCTATTAAACTGCATATTTCAATATCCCAACTGGCTGACATCAGTGGGCTTCCCTCATTCCATAAGCCGTATGATCAACATAAGCTTCTGCTCTATGCTGAGTTCACTTCTCGAAGCTCCAGCTCTCCCAGAGTGTGTGCCTTGGACTCTTTCCCACAGCTCATCCTCAGAGGTAATGAGGGAAGTCAGTATTAGGCTGATTATCTATGAGAGGTCCCCCTTTTCCCCAAGCAGACCAGATCGCTGCAGTCCTAATTGCAAAATCCACAACTGATCCACCCCTTACAACTCTCAAACACCTTACCACCTCCTGCATGAGTTTCAGATAAGGTTCCCTCAGTCCTGCCCAAAACTGTCCTGCAAGTAACGGGCGATGGTTTCCAAATCTTTCTGCAGCAGCTTTCTGACTCGTCTTAGGTGTAGCCCTCTAAACGCCTGAGCAAATTACATTGCAAGAAAGTTATTATGGAGATCACACACTTCTCATTAAATGGTTTGGCCTGCCTCTTCACTTTTGTTCTTTCTATATCAGACTCTCCATTTGCCATGTGACAGGGACAGACTGGTAATCGGAATTCTATTTTCTGGATCTTCGTTCTGCTTTTTTAGGGTGGATGTGGGTCGACATGTGTGAAAGTCCATCAGGAGTATGGGGGGAGAAAAAAAAAGCAAGAAGCAGAGAGGGAGATCAAAGCCTGTCATATCAGCCTCACTCTGTGTGACTCAGCCAACCAAACACAGCGAGACACAGTGAAGACATCCTCCCAGACTCAAGAAAATGTCATCGAAACGACGCCCTTACAGACACCACCATCTATTTCTAGAAGCTCAAGTCACCCTCCAATAATAGCGCTCTTCTGGTCCATTAATAAAGAGGCTAAGAGTTGAACTGTGACATATTAATGTCTTTTCTTGAGGAGGCAGTCAAAAGTTACCTCCTGACTGGGAAGTCTGTCGGCGTTGTCAGTCAGCCGAAGCCGACAAGACAGGAGGAGGGTCCAGATGTCTGCTCTAATGAACAGTTACTTATTAGCTGGAGTGTTTCCATTACTGTCTCAGTTGCCCCTTCCCTTTCATTAACTGCTTACAGCAACCGTTAATGTCATCTTTAATACTTCATTTTGATTAGCATATAATCCATGAGGAAAGAAGGCACAAAAATCGTTTTATTAGAGTCAATTATTGCAATTTTTACTGAATTGTGATTTTACATTTATCTTCTGTCAAAGAACAATTGCTGCATAATTACTGTAATGAATAGTGCAGTAGGAAAAAAAAAGAGATGCATCAGTCCTACTTTTATTTGTTCGTTTGTTCTTTTGAACTCCATCATTTTGCATCAATCTGGCTGTGGTAATGATGGGATGCAAAACAGATTTTTTATGTTTCCCTTCCCACCTGTTTGGGTGTCTGGGAGCTTCAATTGTTGCATGTAATTATCTGTTTTGCCCATAGGTGTCACTGTTGTCCCACGTGGTGAAAGTAGTAGTATATGATGAGTGAGCAGCACAGATGTGATATAAGAAAGTG